AGCAGGGGGCCCCCAGGGGAAAAGGTTTTTCAGGGAAATAAAAACCATTAAAAAGGAAAATTTTTTTTCCCAGGGGAAACAAAAATAGCAGGGGTAAAAACTTTTTTTCCCATGACCCTTATGGTAGCACGATTATTCACCAAAAAGACCCTGAATATTTAAATTTTTCAGGGGACGAAACCCCGGGGGTTTCCCCCCCTGAGCAAAAAAACCCCCTTTCCCCCCTTTTTTATTCAAGATTTTACTTACACCCTATTTTTTTCCCTAAAAAATTTTCCCCCCATTTTTCCTATATGTTTTTTCAAAAATTTTCCCCCTTGTCGGTATTTTTTTTTGTCCAAAAAGTTTAAATTTGAAAACCCAAATGTTTTTTTTACCGGGGTGCTAAAAACTTTTCCCCCCTTTCCCCCGCAAAAAAAGGGTGGAAATTGTTTTTTTTTGCACCATTTTTTTAATTGGTAAATCCTTTCGGGTTCCTTTTTTTTTCCCTTTGCTAATTTTTCCCGTTCCCCGTTTTTAACCGCCTTCCTTTTTTTCACCAAAATCCCCTCCGCATTCCCCTCAAAAATCTTGCTTGCCCCCGGGGCAAATTTGATTTATTTCCCCCCAAAACGTAAGGGGGGGGGGGGGGGGTAGTTTTTTTGGCTGAAATTTGGGTTTTTTTCCCTTTCCTCAGGGTGCCCTTTTTGAAACTTTACTTTAAATTTTCCTCAACGGCCCTTTTAATTCATAAGATTTTTGGGGGGGTTTTTTTTTTTTTGGTTTTCTTTTACATTTTTTTTGGGGGGGAACCCAATTTCCCCTTTCTTTCCCCGGGCTGTTGGGAAAATAACCCCCCTTTTTGGCAGGGTATCCATCTTTGGGCATTCGTATTTCAAGAGTCGGAAAATTTTGGTTATTTTCCTTTTATTGGGCCGTTCTTTTGAATTCTATTTTTTCCCTTTCGGGGATTTGAATATTTTTTAAATTTAACTCCCTTTTCAAAAAATACGTGGGTTGGCAACGGCCCCGTTCCCCTTTATTTTTTGGGGGAAAACCCCTTTGGGTTTCTTTGGAAGGTTAGGGGAAGGTATAAAAAATAAAAAGGTTCCATTTGGGGCCCCCAAATTTTAAAATTTCCCCCTTTTTTGAGGTTTCCCCAAAAACCCCTGGGTTCATGTAAATTGGTTTTTGGCAAAATTTAAAACGACCCAACCCGTTTTTCCCCAGCCGTCAAAACTTATTCCGCGTTTTCCCATAGGGGAATGAAAATTGTTTGAAAACCCCAATGTTTAATAAAAATAAAAGCTCAAAATCCGAGTTTTTTTTTCCGCTGAAAGGGCCTCCCTACGGGGAGCCCCCTTTTTGCGGAAAATTTTTCTGTTCTGTTCTGGAGGTGTCTTCCTGTTGCAACTTGTAATTGATATTATCACTGACTGCTCTCCTTTTTGTTCACCTGGAAATCCCCTCTACAAGCACTGTACATCAACAGCATGGAATGCTTAGACGATAAATGACCACAGGTGCAGATATGGGGGTGATGTAGGTGATCTTCCCTCCAATAAACGGTAAGGTGGGGGAGAGAGAAAAATAGTTTGTGTGTGTCAAGTCAAATCGAAATTAAATGAAAGTTTATTTGTCACATGGCAGAATACAACGGGTGCAAACCATACAGTGAAACGTTTACTTACAAGCTCTTCCTCAACAATGCAGGGTTCAATATCAGAGGTAAGATAATGTGTGTGTGTGTGTGTGTGTGTGTGTGTTTAAGGTATTACATAGGTATTACATTTTATTTTGGGTATTATCATTGAATAAGTTCTCTTTTAGCATGTCATGTCTAGGGAAATGAACTTTTCATTGGTCAGGTGTATGCACAGTCGTCCTGGCCGATACAGTGAGTGGCGAGGACGAGCTCCGAAGACCTGAAGTTATTTTGCCATTCATTGTTGCCGTTGCGATCTGTAGAGTTGCTATTTTCTCGAGTTATCGTGTCAATTAACTCGTAATATTTCTGGGTTACTCATTATATTAATAAACTCCGATTTAATCAACAAATACGATAGGAAGTTGAAAAAATGTCAACGGTACAACAGTGTCACAGGAGGTTGGTGACACCTTAATTGGGGAGAACGGGCTCGTGGTAATGACTGGAACGGAATTAGTGTAATGGTATGAAATACATCAAACACTTGGTTTCCAGGTGTTTGATGCCATTCCATTTGCTCAATTCCGGCCATTATTATGAGCCGTTCTCCCCTCAGCAGCCTCCTGTGATTCAGTGTACATATCTGCCTGTGTTGGCAAAATCCCTACATATCCCATCGAGCCAAGCCCGTTGTCACAGTTCCAAGACCAGTCAGAAACGTCCAGCTAATTCCGCGTTCACGTACTAGTCGGAACTACGAAACTTGCTAACTGGTTGAACGCAGCACGTGTATAACTACAACCAGTAGCAAGTCTACAAAGTCCGAGTTTCTTTGTTCCGACTAGAACATGAACGCGGCATAACCCTACGCCGGTGGAGCTGATGCCGCATTCAGAACAACTGGGAACTCGGAAAAATACGAGGTTAAATCATGACGTCAGTGAAAGACGCCCGATGTTGGCATTCCGAGTTGGATGGCCGTTCAAATAGTTTTTTCCGAGTTTCCAGTTCAATTGAACGCACAGAGGTCGGAGATTTCCGAGTTCCCAGTTGTTTTGAACGCGGCAAATTATATCATTCGCCACCGTGGTCTTATGACAGACATCTCGAACCAGGAGTATTCAACAAAACAATACATACTTTAAGTTTCTTTCCAGCGAATTTCTTAGTTGAATGATTGTATAACTAGCAAAGGAGTTTTGAAGTTGTGGGTGCTGTATTTAGTTTGGCAATGAGGACTAGCCAACTTGTTTAGGTTTAACCGGAGAAAACGAGCTCAGGAGACATATTGTAGTTCTTATGCCCTGATATCAGGAGCTGGCGGCGAAAAGTTTGATTAAACAATTCAGAGACTGAAACGAATAAATCAGATTAATTATGTTTAAGGACGGCAAATCGATATAAAATCCCGAAATCAGCTGTAACCGTCGATAGTAAGACTAAGCTTAAAAGTGGTCCTCTGTAGCTCAGCTGGTAGAGCACGGCGCTTGTAACGCCAAGGTAGTGGGTTCGATCCCCGGGACCACCCATACACAAAAATGTATGCACGCATGACTGTAAGTCGCTTTGGATAAAAGCGTCTGCTAAATGGCATATTATTTATTATTATTAAAACGATGTTTGAGTGACCCTGAATACAGAAAATGAATGGCGACTCCTTCTCATTACTATCTATGGCCCAGGCCCGGCCTTTGATAGTTATTATGTTGATGGGTAATGTAGTCCATTACTCTATTGTCCTTCACCCATTGTCTCGCAAAAAAACTACAGTTACAGTGTCGGTGCTTGAGGGGCACGCACAGTCGTGTGGGGCCCGAAAGAGTGTAGTTTTGAAGGGAAACCAAGGTTGTTGAGGTTCGTGGTGGGAATAGCAAGATCTGGGGTATGTACATAGTGATTTTCATTATATCTTTTTACAGATACGCTGTTGTGGACGTTTAACGAGCATGTGTAAACGTCCTGTTCTTTTCAAAAGCTAGCTAGCATAAAATAGCTTGGGGGGTCAAAACTAGCCAGCCAGGCACTAGCCCCTCTTTTGTTCGATTGTCAGCCTGTAGCCAGCTAGCGGTCTAACTAGCTAATTACTGTGTGGAAATTTGAGAAATAATTGCCACCTAACCGTTGGGTCAGCTGAAACAATCTGGCTGTCAGTGAACACATTTTACCTGTACTGCCGCTAAGTGTACTGGTGTCTGGTTAGCAGCAGTGTTGGCTAGCTAACAACTACTTAGCCGGCGTTGTTTAGTTTAGCTAGCTTGTGTTAGTCCATACACAATGTGTTTGCTATGTCGTTTGCTAGGAGGAAAGACGCAGTGGAATAAAATGTATTAGCTAGCTAGTTTACCTGTCACACTTGCAAGGTGTACTAAAATTTAAATTTTTTTTTGAATATAACTTTAATTAGCTAGCGGAATTGGTTAGCTAACGTTGGCTTGCAAACTGGCCAACACAGCCGGTGTTCTGACAATCTGCTGATGGTGATCTGATAATCCATGCAAGCCACAGTTCAACAATGCATCATACATCATTTTTTTTACTTAAGTCAGCTAACGTTAGGTACCCCAAACCTTTTTGCTTGCTGCATGGTGGATCTCAAATAAACTGCCATTAGTTAGCGTGATAGAATGAGACCCCCGCCCTAGCCTTACCAAGACAGATGCTGCAGTGGGGGGTTGATAATTGTGAGACTTGAGAAGAGCTAGCCAGCTAAATGGGGAAATTGATAAAGCGTAGACAGGAAATAGGCCTATACTGGCTTAGTATCATCAACCTCTCCCTGTATCTGTTCCCTGTGTAATTGTATCAGGAAACAATTGTCTCTCATTTGAGATGGCTGCACAGCCCCCAACATTGTAGGAAAACCTACTGCATACCTTTTAACCTGTTGTTATTTCTCAATGTGGTCATGGAAAACAAGAGCTTGTTTTAGTTGGAGGGTTACAGTGGTATTTCCTTGGAAAAGGTCATTCTTAGTTAATTCTAGTCTGAGCAAAGGTCAGAGTTCTAAACTGCACACTGTGCAAAATCACCAGTTTATGATGGCCTCTGCTTTTGGCCATTGAATTAACCTCATTCAACACACTTATTTTACCAATTACCTATTCTTTGTCTTCTGTAGGTAGGCCAACCTTTGAAAAAGGCTTATTTTATTGAGTTTGTTTGTAGGCCTAGGATATCTGATTTTAGAATTCCTGAGGTGCCGGATTTTATTTATTTTAATTAAGGAATCACAAAAAGTCAAGTCACCCTACTGAAAAATAAAACTCAAAATGCAAATCTTTGTCTCTTTCTTTCCTCCCGCTCTCTCTGCTCCCCTCCACCTCACATTTTGCCTTTTGTTCAGCTCTCTTCCTCCCTGCTCTGTGGTAAAGACGGCTGCTGGTTGCAGGCACCGAGTGGTGCAACAGAAGCAGTGTGACATTGCCCTGTCCTACTCTCATGTCCCCCCCCCCCCATGTATGTCTTCCCTGCCTGTTAGTGTCCCCATCTGGTCCCCTCATTGTCTCGCTGCCTTCTCCAGCCTGAAGCCCTCCTTTCCCTCATGCTTTGGACAAAGCCGGCACACTGCCAGCCCAATGACTGCCTGGATCGTCCTGCCTGTCAGCCTCTCTGCCTTCTCCATCACAGGGATATGGATAGTGTGAGTTCTCAAACACCAGGGTCCAGTACCATTTGTCTTGATGGCCAAGCATGTATCACAAAGTGATTGAAAGATAAATATTCATAGTAAATTCATGATTGTGGTTTTGAATCATTGTTGATTTGTGTTTGTTTTCCCCTGCAGCTACGCCATGGCTGTGATGAACCATCATGTTTGTCCGGTGGAGAACTGGTGAGTGCTTCACTGAGAGTTTCATTAAAAACATTGTGGTAGTAAAGAAGACTCAGTTTTGTCTTTGAATTTATAGCCTAGATTAACTTGGTACAACAGTATATCTCCTGCTTGAAAAGAATAATAATAATAATAATAATAATAGCTAATTGAATTGTTTTTTTGTCTTATCTGCAGGTCCTACAATGTTACATGTACAGAGGAGATGGCCAGGCCAGGCTTCCCAAAGACATGCTGCACCATACAGGACATCCCCCTCATCAGGTCTTACATTAATTTATACTCTCTCTCTCATTCATTTATATTCTCTCTTTCTCAATTCAATTTCAATTTAAGTGGCTTTATTGGCATGGGAAACATATGTTTACATTGCCAAAGCAAGTGAAATTGATAATAAACAATAGTGAAAAAAACACTCACAAAAGTTCCAAAAGCATAAAGACATTTCAAATGTCATATAATGTCTATATACAGTGTTGTAATGATGTGCAAATAGTTCAAGTACAAACGGGAAAATAAATAAACATAATATAGGTTGTATTTACAATGGTGTTTGTTCTTCACTGGTTGCCCTTTTCTTGTGGCAACAGGTCACAAATCTTGCTGCTGTGATTGCGCACTGTGGTATTTCACCCAATAGATATGGGACTTTATCAAAATTGGATTTGTTTTCAAATTCTTTGTGGGTCTATGTAATCTGAGGGAAATATGTGTCTCTAATATGGTCATACATTTGGCAGGAGATTAGGAAGTGCAGCTCAGTTTCCACCTCATTTTGTGGGCAGTGTGTACATAGTCTGTCTTCTCTTGAGAGCCAGGTTTGCCTTCGGCGGCCTTTCTCAATAGCAAAGCTATGCTCACTGAGTCTGTACATAGTCAAAGATTTCCTTAATTTTGGGTCAGTCACAGTGGTCAGGTATTCTACCACTGTGTACTCTCTGTTTAGGGCCAAATATAATTATAGTTTGCTCTGCTTTTTTGTAAATTCTTTCCAATGTGTCAAGTAATTATCTTTGTGTTTTCTTATGATTTGGATGAGTCTAATTGTGTTGCTGTCCTGGGGCTCTGTGGGGTCTGTTTGTGTTTGTGAACAGAGCCCCAGGACCAGTTTGCTTAGGGGGCTCTTCTCCAGGTTGATTTCTCTATAGGTGATGGCTTTGTTATGGAAGATTTGGGAATCGCTTCCTTTTAGGTGGTTGTAGAATTTAACGGCTCTTTTCTGGATTTTGATAATTAGCGGGTATCAGCCTAATTATGCTCTGCATGCATTATTTGGTGTTTTACGTTGTACACTGAGGATATTTTTGCAGAATTCTGCATGCAGAGTCTCAATTTGGTGTTTGTCCAATTTTGTGAATTCTTGGTTGGTGAGCGGACCCCAGACCTCACAACCATAAAGGGCAATAGTTCTATAACTTATTCAAGTATTTTTAGCCAGATCCTAATTGGTATGTCGAATTTTATGTTCCTTTTGATGGCATAGAAGGCCCTTCTTGCCTTGTCTCTCAGATCCTTCACAGCTTTGTGGAAGTTACCAGTGGCGCTGATGTTTAGGCCGAGGTATGTATCGTTTTTTGTGTGCTCTAGGGCAACGGTGTCTAGATGGAATTTCTATTCATGGTCCTGGCAACTGGACCTTTTTTGGAACACCATTATTTTTGTCTTACTGAGATTTACTGTCAGGGCCCAGGTCTGACATAATCTGTGCACGAAGATCTAGGTGCTGCTGTAGGCCCTCCTTGGTTGGGGACAGAAGCACCAGATCATCAGCAAACAGTAGACATTTGACTTCAGATTATAGCAGGGTGAGGCTGGGGTCTCTCTCTCTCTCTTTGCCCCCTCTGTCTCGCAATTCAATTTCAATTGAAGGGCTTTATTGGCATGGGAAACATATGTTTACATTGCCAAAGCAAGTGAAATGGATAATAAACAAAAGTGAAATAAATAATAGAAAAATTAACAGTAAACATTACACTCACAAAAGTTCCAAAATAATAAAGACATCTCAAAAGTCATATGTGCAAATAGTTAAAGTACAAAAGGGAAACTAAATAAACATAATATAGGTTGTATTTACAATGGTGTTTGTTCTTCACTGGTTGCCCTTTTCTTGTAGCAACAACAAATCTCGCTGCTGTGATTGCACACTGTGGTATTTCACCCAACAGATATGGGAGTTTATCAAAATTGGGTTTGTTTTCTAAATCTTTGTGGGTCTGTGTTATCTGAGGGAAATATGTGTCTCTAATATGGTCATACATTTGGCAGGAGGTTAGGAAGTGCAGCTCAGTTTCCATCTAATTTTGTGGGTAGTGTGCACATAGCCTGTCTTCTCTTGAGAGCCAGGTCTGTCTCTCTCTCTCTCAATATTTCTACATGCCTATCTCTGCATCTGCTACGCAGGAAGTGATTGTCTCTCATTGAAAGCCTGACAGGGTGAATTACAGTAGCACCTTGTTTTATGGCGGTGGGAGCGTTGACAATGATTAAACCGCACTCTGCAGTGCACTGCCTTTGTCAAATCTGCAAATGAGCCTGACTGCTGTGAATCGGTTACAACACAAACATGTGATGGTATATTGTGGGTGTCATTCATAAAATGACTGATGATGACTGATTCATTCATCTGCAAAGTCTTAGCCTCATAACCAGACCAGAAGAGAGATAGTAACAACCTTGTAATATACCAGTGACATGAAGGCCTTTTCCTAACATTTGAATCATGGGCATATATAGGCCTATTCAACGTCATTCAATGAATGAAGGCTAGTGAGTGGATTTCTTATTCGTTTTGGGTGACATGTTGTTTCCTCCCCCTCATCGCTCTTGTGACTCCTACAGTAAGTGTGGCTCCTTCCCCCCTGAGAGCTGCCTGTTCAGTCTGATCGGGAATGTCGGAGCCTTCATGGGTAAGTAACCTCTTCTCGCTGACCTCTTCTCTCATCACTCCACAGCCCACTCACTCACACTGACCATAAGCTGTGCCCTTTGCCTCACTCATCACTAATGTAGTGAAGGGTAAACTCAGTTTATTTTTGTTTTGTGAAAAGGGTTTACCCAGCCATTATGCTAGTCTTTTTTTGTATTGGTGTTTAAAGCTGGAATCCTTAATGTTGAAACTGCCACGTCCGTTTGCGATATTACAACAACAAAGACATTACTGCAAACAACAAACTTTTTTTTTCTCCCTCGGACATCATTGCATGAACAGCAGATTCTGTAAAACATTTTTACCACATTGGCAGATGCTCCTCACCTCTGCTTCGTCAACAAAACAAAACAATAACAATGGCCGTTTGGTGGACAGTGGTGCTGTTTCCCCTACTGCGGATTCCATCTTTAAAGGGATAGTTCAACCAAATTACAAAATGACACATTGGTTTCCTTGACCTGTAAGCAGTCTATGGACAAGGTATGACAGTAATCCATGCTTTGATTTTATTTCCCTGGCACTGTTTCCAATTGCTAACATTTTAGAATTCGTGGCATAAATCCCATTCAAGTCCTGGTACCGATATTAGCATTTTCCGTTCATCATGTCTGAATAATCCTGAAGTGTCTACAATTTATTGTGAAGCTCAACAAAGTCACATAGATTATTTGAACATGATGTACGAAAAATGCTAAAATCGGTACCATGACTTGAATGGGATTTGTGCCACAAATGCTAAACGCAATTTTTGTGCTACAAAAACTAAACCAAAGCATGGATTGGTGTCATACCTTGTCCATAGACTGCTTACAGGTTAAGGAAACCAATATGTCATTTTGTAATCACTCAGCGCTCAGGGTTTACACATCTATTTTTATCACTAAATTCCTGGTTGCAAATAATACTATTGATAATGATCTGAAGGTGGTGAAAATACCTGTAAAGATAGATTCTATCAGCTTTTTGCTCATTGGTCTCAAGAATATATCACCTCACAGAATCTCCTTTTCAGTACTGTAGTCAATAGTGTGCTGAGTTCATCTGAATATTTTACAGAATTTCCTATACAACTGATATTGTACACCTTGTCTCAGCTATATATACTGGTGTATATGTTAGCCACTAGTTAGCACCACGTGCAGAAGAGCTTTAAATAGGCTCTGCGATCAATAATGGATGTGGCCTTTCCTCCACTCCTCCCCCCTCATCATCCATCACCTTCCTCCATTACTTGCTTTCCTGTCTTATTTATCACCACTCACTCTGCCCCCTTTTCCCTGTGCTCTTCTTCATCCCATGTCTCTGCCCTCCTCTCTCTCACCATCTACTCATTCCCCCTACTCTCTCTCTCTCTCTCTCTCTCTCTCTCTCTCTCTCTCTCTCTCTCTCTCTCTCTCTCTCTCTCTCTCTCTCTCTCTCTCTCTCTCTCTCTCTCTCTCTCTCTCTCTCCCCCTCTCCCTCCCTCCAGTGGTGATGGTGTGCCTTCTGCGCTATGCCCAGGTGATTGAGCACAGCCACAGTTGCTGGATTAACACCAGCGCTCTTGTGTCTGGCTGCACCAACGCTCTAGGACTGGTCATGGTGGGCAACTTCCAGGTGATTCTTCTCACTTCATTACTCTTCTATACGTAAAGGTTGATTCCATGTGTGTGTCCCTAATGGCCCCCTATCTGTCACTCTTAGCTAGAGCGACAATTACTAAGTGGTGGTGGGCTATATTCAATATTTTCCTCATTTGTTATCTCCACTTGGTGTTTCCCTTGTAATGATTCCCTGTGTTGTCTAACATGTCTCTATAAATTCAAAACAAGGGGTATGGGCGGATGTGGGTGGCCATGTGCATTGGAGTGGGAGGGTTCAGGGGAACGTCAATGGGATTTGGGTATTCGGAGTGGGTTCACTTGTGCATTAAATGTATGTTTTCAATCACAGTAAAAAATACATGAATGGATAAATAAGATGTTTCCCTCCTTGGGCAGGTTGACCATGCCAAGTCTCTCCACTACGTTGGCGCGGGCGTGACCTTCCCCGCCGGTCTGCTCTTTGTGTGCCTGCAGTGTGTGCTCACCTACCGCTTAGCCGTCACCGCCCTTGACTACTGGATGGCACACGTACGTGTGGCGCTGGCCGCAGGAGCCCTCGTCTCACTGGTCCTCAGTATCCTTCCTGACTCACTGGGATTGGTTGAGGGAAGAGTTGGGCGGCTGGGATTGGTTGAGGGAAGGGGTGGGGGCTGGGCATTAGACTGGTCATGTAGGGGTCGTGTTATTGGTCATGATGGGCTCCATCAGTTAATAAAAGGTGACGGATAATTTCTCCATAGCGTCATTTAAGTCCCATCAGGCACAGTTAAAGATGGCGTCTGCAGTAGGGGGAAACAGCGCCACTGGCCGCCCCACCACAGTTCATATTGTTTCTGTTGCCGAGCTGAGGAGCGGAAAAAAATGTGCGGTACATAATGTGCTCTTCTATCGCACGTGCAATGATGTCTGAAGGGGGAAAAAAAAACGTTTTTGTTGTTTGCAGTAGCTTCTTTAGTTGTTGTAATATCAAAAACGGACGTGGCAGTTTCAACATTAAGGATTCCAGCGTTAATGTGGGATGTAATGTGTCATTTCTCTTCGGTAATGAAACCTTGCAATGGCTAGTCTGTGATACCACCAAACCACTAGTAGGACATATGTGCCTCATATATATTTGGAAGCGGTAAGTCTAATTCCTTTCAGTGGTCTGGGATAAATAGGCATATTTATAGTGGCTGTAGGAAAGGAGGGTCTGAAGAGGCCAGGGAGGCTGTTGGGGGACGGTTGTGGGGATAGGTAGCTAGGGTTCTTTGGTTAGCTAGCTAATACATATGTGTCTGTACAGGGAGGCTGTTGGGGGACGGTTGTGAGTGTGACCGGTTGTTGGGCTAGATGGGGAGCTACAGTCATGGCTAGAAGGGATCCAGCTTTTGTCAAATTAACGTCAAAAGTTGAATTTATTTTGCGTTTCAGCTAACCCTTTTCCTAACCGTAACCTAATTCTCCTAACCTGCTAAGTTAATTCTCTTAATCTGCTGCATAAGTTCTACTAACCTGCTACAAAAAGTCAAATCTGACGTTAATTTGACAAAAGCTGGATCCCTTATAGCCATGACCAGTAGCTACTAGCTAGGGTTCTTAAAACATGATGACTATCCTCAGTATTGTGAGAAGTTCTCAGGGTCTTCCTCCTGCTGGAACAAGTAGGGGTGAAGACTAGGAACAGATGTTGTCCTATCTGCCTGGCAGGCTCAGCCATACTCTGAAGCCCTCATTAATATATCAATGGATGAAGAAGCATATTGATATATCCCTGCCTAAATATTTCAACAGCAACAGTACTGCACTCTGTGAACCGCGCACTCGTTATTGACCATAGCATAGGATGCGTCCCAAATGGCATCCTATTCCCTTTATAGTAGTGCACTATATAGGGAATAGAGTGCCATTTTGGACGCATCCATAGATTTCTTGATGTTGCCCTTCCTCCTCCATCGATGTGGCTGTTGCTTCTCCTTAACGGTGTTTCCCCAGGTGGTATCTTCTTCATCCACGAGAGCTTTGTCCTCCAGCATGCGGCGGCCATCTGCGAGTGGGTCTTCACCGTGGACATCCTGGTCTTTTATGGCACTTTCACCTATGAGTTCGGCACGGTCACCAACGACACCATGATGGTTGGCCTGCAGCAGACCCACCACCACTCGGAGGTCATGATGGGCGGCGCGTCCGGGGCCATGACGCTGGGCATGGGAGCCAAGGGCCTCAAGTCCCCTGGAGGAAGCAGCACATCCACCCATCTCAACTGCACCCCAGAGAGTATAGCCATGTTGTAGCTTTGTGGGGGTCACAGGAGGTCACCACGCTGCTGCAGAGAGGAACCACCACACAGGCAGCAGAGGTTAGGGCTCAATGATAGTACTGGCCGCCAGGGGAAGGAGAAAAGACAAGACGTTGAAAATCACAAGATATGATTGACACACCGAGTCACCGGGCCGGTATTGACGTATTGGGTTTTCGTGTTGTAATAAGCCGTCCGTTTCTCCACTACGGTCTAATTTTATTTGCTTCATCAGCAGGAAGGAAGACTTACAGGAAGGGTAAATATGTGGGATGATGAGGGATGATGATGCTGTGAATGTTTCCAAGATGGCTGCTGGCACATGAGCCTCCCAGCACACTGACACGATTATGCCTTTTTTCTTTCTTAAAGATCAGTGTTGTTCGACCGGTCACTGAGGCTTTGCCAGTGTTCATTCTTGTCATGTCGGGATGGCAGACACAAAAGGTTTATTTTATATACCAACACAATGTTTTTTTTGTGCCACATTTTACGGACTTCCTCTACCTGGCGAATGAAAGAGTAGATAACGTTGTTGGATTGATCGGACTTGGTTTGAGTTTTAATTTTGTGTATACTCTGCCAATGTTAAAGCATCGTAGTAGAAAATATTGAATGTTTGAGAAGTGGAACTATAGATAGTATACTGTTATGTACATGACAGGTTGTATGCACACGCCTTTTTATTTATCAATCAAGTATAAATTACCTGTAAAACGATTTGTGAAATCAGAAACATAAATTGACAAGACAATTTACACATTCTGTACACAATATCTGCACAATATCTTGAATAGCTGCTTCGAGGGCAAGCGATATAAACGACTTTGTTTTTAAAAATTGTTTAAAATGATATCTCTGTATGTTTAGTCATTACATTTGTTATTCCCTAGATACCATTTTATAATTGTATGAAATGCTATACATCTAGCTGACATGATATGAGCATAGAATGCTCACACAAACCTGCTGGTCTGTTCAGCCCCTCTGTTACTGGGGCAACCTCTGCGTCGCAATCACTCTTGCTTGATTTGTTTTATATTTACCATTGATGTTGCCACTGAATTTCCCTCACCTGTTAGCCACTGGTAACATGGCTTATTGTGTTGTTTTCATGAGGTCACCTTATTGTTTTCTGTCTTTGTTTGGTGAAATAATGGCCATTTCATCTGCCAAAGTAAAGTACACTACAGAGTAGGTGTTTGAAGCCTTGCTTTGGAGAGTTTTGAACACATTGCTCTTTGTTGTATATCATAGTACAACATGTAATGAAATATATGGTTATAAATATGACTAATTGAACAACAGCTGTCTTATCTGAAAAAATATAGGGGTATCTACTATTTGGATTCCAGGCTGGTTCCTTGGAAGCCTTATTTGGATACTGTGGGCAACACAATCTCTGTAAGAAACGTATCTTCAAAGCCTGTCATTAATGTTCTGAGTGAGATACTGTGTTGAGAACAGGGCTCGTATTAATAAAGCATCTCGGAGTAGGAGTGCTGTTTAGTCCCCCCTGTCCATGTAACCTTATTCTTTATGATCACAAAGTGATCCTAGATCAGCACTCCTACTCTGAGATGCTTTATGAATACAGGCCCAGTTGTATCGATGGTAGGGACTAAAGAGGATGATGCCTATATAGACCTTGTGCCGTTAACCTGATAATGACGAGTGTCTGACGCGTGTCAACAGGTTGTGAGTATTGTTGAAATCCTTTCTGTCATGCCTCTGATGTGGAAATGCATGAGGATATTTGTCGTTTAAAGATGCTGCATGCATGTACTGTATGGGCGATGTGGTGCAAAATTGTTAGACTGAAATAGATGTGTATCATGATATGTAGACCAATGAATGACTTATTAAATTGTCTTTCTCATTGCCAAACATCTATAACTGAAATGGTTCAGAATAAACCGCTCAACTTTGTGACTGACTACCAACCAAATATGCCCCAGGTGAAAGTCACCAGGAATAAAATGCATATCTGTAACCAACCAGCGCCACCTTGAGGCCAATTGTCTCCACATGGAGAAATCAAATGCAAGTCAGCAGTTTGTATGCTATGCTCTCTCTCTCTCTCTCTGGCTCTTCTTTAGTAGGCCCCAGGGGTGGACTTTGCTATGTTTAAGGGGTTTTAATTAATTGAAACTGGCCCCACTGACTGTTATTTAACGTAAATGTGTTAAAAACAACTTTATATGGCCTATATATTCCATGAAATAAATATTTTTAATTGTGGGATAATAATCATATAGGGTCATTTTCCATGGAAAAATGTCAATTTAAGTCCGCTCCTGGTTGGCACTTATAACATTAGTGATCTATGATATTATCACTACCACAGTATTCTCTATTGGGTCATTGTGTTCCTGGTACAGTATATATTCAACTGTACAGTACAGTCACTGGATGGTTTTCCAGCCAACAAAACTATTTTAAACCGTGTTTTATAGTTTTCTTCATGTCAGCTACCTCTGTGATTGCGAGTGGACTTGATGTTATTCCAAAGCAGATGCAGATGCGTAGATGGTATTTCCTATTCCTATGGCCGGAAAAGACGGAAATCTACACTGGAATTTAATGGGTTGGCTCTGTTGCTATAAAACAGCCAGGCCACACAGAAAAGACAAGAAAATGAAAGCAAACTGGTGGTTTCTGATGCTAAAATTATGTAGCTCCTGTGTATGTTCACGCTGTTCCATCTTTTGGCCTTTTCCCCCTTATCCTGTACCAGCCAAAAAGTTTGTTCAAATATTTGACTTAAAATGACCTTATTTTCTGCTGCATTTCACCATACTGTAATTTAGTATCACGGTTAGACTTCAACAGGCAGCTTTGATGAAAATGTACCTACATGGGATTGGAACTCTTAGTGGACATGGCCAAAACATGACAAAATGGCATTTCTATACTTATGATTGTTTTTGTTATTTAAAAAAATAAATAATCCTGCACTTAAATCTTGTAGCTGTGCTTTTTATGTGAGTGTGAGAGAATAACAATTCCAGTTGCATTGTTAAAGACATTTAACAGAATAATGTTAAATGTCTTGAATTCTAAATAACAGCAATGCACATCAAATGTCTTGAAAGATGTAATAGTCATTTTATACTTTTTTTAAACTATGTAAAACGGATGGTGTGGGAGGAAAGTCGATTGTGTTCTTTTATAAATTACTTCTCTAAATGTGTGACGTATCTATCATTTAGCTATTTTCTTTTGTCAAAGATTTATATTCAAATATGAAATAAAATGGATGAATTATAAGCAAATTCTTTGCTCTTCGTACTGTTTATTCATAGGCAGAAGTTGGGTAAATTATGTTTTATTACACAAGCTGAGTGTTTGTTTCAACATGACTGATCTGGGATGAGTCTCAGCTGCATCCCCTCAGAGAAGGGAGTAGGCTGGCTTGGCAGACATTGACTTGGCAGACATTAGCATACCCACTAAAATGATATTTCATCAATAATGCATTAGGTTGACTCACAAATCTTTATTATTGCATTGTAGCTCCCAAGGGTTACTCTCGTGCGCCAGACCACTTGGTATGGCTGGAGAGTCTGGGTCTGGCAAATCAACATTAGACCTACCTGTGAGCCTAGAACATCAACTCCTCTCATCTGCTCCTCTGCTCTAGCCTTGTGAAACCACACCAACTGCAATGTGAGATATTGCAAGACTATTCAGGTTTCATGAGGACTTTACTATAATTGAACATATCATGTTCCTCTCTACAAGACAGCCCTTCGTTGTAGACAGAGAGAAATATGGCAGAACAATTATCACTGCCTTGAAATAGAGTGTCTGTTCAGTACTGTCCGCATTTCACAGCAGCTGTTTATTTTAAGGATTCACTCACAGGACTCAGCAGTTGGAGTTTATTTTGTCATATGCCTACTGAGATACACTCATTAACATGAAGCACAAACCAGTTATGCCAGCCAGACCAACAAGTGAATGCTATACATGCTTTATAACCACCCATGGGACTTAGTCTTTGTGTTAACAATGCTGGGTCATTCAACAAACTACTTAATATTTGAGGAAATGCGATTGAGTGGTTTACAGTTCAAGAGGACGTGAGAAAAACAACAGTTGTGAGATTGGTCCTTAATCTACAGTGCCTTCAAAAAATATTCACACCCCTTGGTATCTACAATGCAATAAATAGTTTAAATTGAGATTTTTATGTCATTGATCTACACACAATACCACATAATGTCAAAGTGGAATTTCGTTAGTAGATTTTTTTCTGAATTAATAAAAAATTTAAAGCTGAAATGTCTTGAGTCAATAAGTATTCAACACCTTTGTTATGGCAAGCCTAAATAAATTCAGGAGTAAAATGTGCTAAACAAATCGCATAATAATTTGCATGGACTCATGTTCAATAATAGTTGTTAACATGATTTTAAAAAATAATTACCTCATCTCTGTACCTCACACATACAGATAATTGTAAGGTCCCTCAATCGAGTAGTGAATTTCAAGCACAAATTAAACCAAAAAGACCAGGGAGGTTTTTCAATGCCTTGCAAAGAAGGGCACCGATTGGTAGGTGTATACATTTAAAAAAGCAGACACTGAATATCCCTTTAAGCATGGTGAAGTTATTAATTAGGCTTTGGATGGTGTATCAATACACCGAGTCACTACAAACATACAGGCGTACTTCCTAACTTAGTTGCGGGAGAGGAAGGAAAATGCTCAGGGATTTCACCATGAGGCCAATGGTGATTTTAAAACAGTTACAGAGATTAATGGTTGTGATATGAGAAAACGGAGGATGGATCAACAACACTGTAGTTACTCCAGAATACTAACCTAAATGATAAAGTGAAAAGATGCCTGTACAGAATAAAAATATTCCAAAACATGCATCCTGATTGCAACAAAGCACTTAAATAATACAGCAAAAATGTGGCAAAGAAATTAACTTTTTGTCCTGAATACAAAAAGCGTTATGTTTGGGGCAAATCCAACATACAGTGGGGAGAACAAGTATTTGATACACTGCCGATTTTGCAGGTTTTCCTACTTACAAAGCATGTAGAGGTATGTAATTTTTATCATAGGTACACTTCAACTGTGAGAGACGGAATCTAAAACAAAAATCCAGAAAATCACATTGTATGATTTTTAAGTAATTAATTTGCATTTTATTGCATGACATAAGTATTTGATCACCTACCAACCAGTAAGAATTCCAGCTCTCACAGACCTGTTAGTTTTTCTTTAAGAAGCCCTCCTGTTCTCCACTCATTACCTGTATTAACTGCACCTGTTTGAACTCGTTACCTGTATAAAAGACACCTGTCCACACACTCAATCAAACAGACTCCAACCTCTCCACAATGGCCAAGACCAGAGAGCTGTGTAAGGACATCAGGGATAAAATTGTAGACCTGCACAAGGCTGGGATGGGCTACAGGACAATAGGCAAGCAGTTTGGTGAGAAGGCAACAGCTGTTGGCGCAATTATTAGAAAATGGATGAAGTTCAAGATGACGGTCAATCACCCTCGGTCTGGGGCTCCATGCAAGATCTCACCTTGTGGGGCATCAATGATCATGAGGAAGGTGAGGGATCAGCCCAGAACTACACGGCAGGACCTGGTCAATGACCTGAAGAGAGCTGGGACCACAGTCTCAAAGAAAACC